CCGGAAATACCAGCAGTACCAAGTGCTCCTGTCGCCCCTGCAGTGGCCACTGAGCCAGTAACTAAAGCACCTGTGCCTGTACAAGCTCCGATTAAAACGGCAGCGCCAGAAGTACCCGCGTCAGTGGCTCAAGCCGCAGTCGCTTCTTCAGCCGTAATGGCTAAGACAGCACTAAATGGTGAGAAAGTGTATAAATCATCGTGCTTTGCCTGTCATGCAACAGGTGTAGCAGGCTCCCCATTGTTGGGTAACAAAGCGCTTTGGGCTCCACGTATTGCAACAGGAAAGGATGCTTTGTATAACTCATCAATAAAAGGTAAAGGTGCAATGCCTCCAAAAGGCGGCAATTTGTCATTATCTGATGATGAAGTAAAAGCAGCCGTTGACTATATGGTTAACAGTGCGAGATAAATCTAGCTTGATTTAGGGCTAAGAAGTCACTAAAGCTTGGGAAAGCTCAGGCTTACCTTTTTGCTTGGGCTTGAATGATCGCAATCGTTGTGTGAAGTGACGATGTACTTGTCGAGATTATCCAAAGACATCATATTTAGCCTTGAGCCTTATTGAAAAAAGCACTTCTTTATGAAGTGCTTTTTTTGTCTTAGGCAAAGTCTATGTGCCTATATGAGGCTCGCTGATCTGTGAAATACAGGGGAGTGCGGCATCATATTTAATATTTATTATGATGTTAAATAAATGGTAACTAGCTTTTAGGCCAAAGAGCGATAACAATTCATCCTATGGGTGTTTTATACAACAAAAACAATAGGGGAAAATATGTCGCAGGGCATACTAATACAAGCGGATCATTTACACCGTTATTATGGCAAGCATCATGCCGTTAATGATGTCAGTATCTCATTGCATCAAGGCGAAGTGCTGGGCTTATTAGGGCAAAATGGCGCGGGAAAATCCACTACTATGCAGATGTTAACGGGTAATATCGCCCCCCATAGTGGCACGGTGACTATCAATGGCATCGACCTGTTAGAACAGCCCGTGAAGGCAAAGCGTCAATTGGGGTATTTACCCGAAACACCGCCACTTTATACTGATATGCGTGTGATTGAATTCCTACGTTATTGCGCGCGTTTACATGATATTGCTAAAGCAGACGTCAATAAGGCGGTGGAAAAGGTATTGCAGCGTTGTGGTTTAGCAGCAATGCAACAGCGTTTGATTGCTAACTATCCAAAGGTTATCAGCAACGTGTAGGCATCGCGCAGGCGATTATCCATGAACCTGCGGTGATTATTTTAGATGAACCAACCGTGGGTTAGATCCGATTCAAATTCAAGAAATCCGCCGCTTGATTAGTGCCTTAGCTAAAGATCATAGTGTGATTCTGTCTACGCATATCTTGCAGGAAGTTGAAGCAGTGTGTCATCGAGTGCAGATTATGAATGCAGGACAAACGGTGTTTTCGGATAGTTTTGCTGCACTCAAAGCCTATCAGGCGGATGATTTACCCTCGAATGCCTCACTAGATGCTATTTTTACTTCCCTCGTAAACAGAGACGCGG